TCATCATTACAGATCGCTACCATTGCTTTTGTTTTATTTTGCTCACAAAACTCCTCTTATGAGCTTGTATTTTATTTGATGCATAATTATTAGTATTTATTAGTTTGGCTTCTTCATAGAGAAAACTTTATGAGCGAAATAAAATAGGAGCAATGGTAGCGATCTGTAAATGACAAAAAAAGAGCAAGAGATAAAATAAAATTAACATAAGTAAGTTTATTGATGCTTTTAGAGAATATACAGTTTTTAAATATCTTCATGGTTTTCGTATCTCAGGATAGGACTGGAAGACTAGAGAAAAAGAAAATATTTATGTATTGTACATTGTACATATCTGTGTGAAATAAAAATAAATCAGTATCTATATCTGTAAAACAGGTATGACGTAAGATTCGATATATATTGTTACGCTCGTCAAGCAAGTTCGCCGTCGAAGCACTATCGCGCACTCCACAATCGCGCACGCGTACTCCGCGGAACTCGCGAAAGGAAAGGGAACACAGAGAAACTTGAGTAATGCGTTTATTCAAAGCTTGAAAAACAGAATGCGTGCAGATTCCAAAAATCCGCCAGACAGAAAATCAATAAATTTATAAACAAACTCCCGTTGTCAAGGAGCGCGCTTCACAGCTTTCCGCGACTTCTCTACTCAGTGTCCAGCACGGGCGCAACAATATTTATTGTTATAAAATAGAAAATTTATTTATAGTTAATTATTTAAGTAATTATTTTAGAATTGATCAGTTACACATCACTTAAAAATAATTTTATATATTGTAAGGGAGACCGGGGCTATTCGTGACACATTTTTGTTTCAAATTTTTTTCTCGCTTCGTATTTAAAAAATTTTTATTAGTGCGATGTAATCGTCCATCTCTCTAGTTTAAAAGAAAAAAATATATAGGTTTTTTCTCTCACGAGTCTCGAAATATATCAAGAAATGTATCGCTGTGTCATGTGTCACGAATTGCCCCGAAGCCTGGGTAATTCGTGACAAACCACGGGATAATGCGTAACACTTTCTCTGATTGAACAAACTATATAGATTTCTTTCGTTTTTGCAATTTTTATCTACTTTATACTTTGAAAAAGCCTTTATTTGTCAGAATTTACATATTATATGTATAAAAAATTATGAGGAAAAATGTAACGCCTGTTCCATTAATTGCCTTCATTGCTCACATTCGATTACGGGAAACCACTTCTCGAAGGCGTCCGCGGCCTCTGCGAATTGGTTTTTCCTTTGAACGCTTATTCGTGGCGTTTTTGGTTGCCCCGATTGCTCGTGTCACGAAATGCCCCGACGTGACTTTTTCTTATTCATGATCTGTGACTTACAGATAAGAAAGAATACCATAAAATCTACTCATGCATTATGCTTGGTGAAGTCGAGTGACTGAATACAACTTACCGTTTCGGATCTCTTATTATTTTATTCGGCAAGAAAACAAATTTTTTGGGATTTGAAAAAATTTACTTTGAGCACTTGAAATCAAACTTTCTGTCACTGAGAGAGAAAAATGGTTGACACGCAAATGCCATTCCGTTGGTACCTGAGGACACTAAGAAACATCTGTGATTGATATTACAGGTTTCCAGCAGCAAGCATTTTAAAGTTAGGCCCGCGACAAAATTTCAGCAGTGTCACGAATAGCCCCGGTCTCCCCTACAAAAAATAATTTTAATAATTTACAAAATACAAAGAGAGATATTTTTATCAATTCTAATTGTGTGAAAAATTTATTATCCTTTTCGGATCTTGCGTTATTCATCCGGATTTTTCTGCATGTTTTTGAGATAGATTTAGCAACGAATCGTTCGAATAATCGATGAAAATATGCATATGGGCATTAGATTCTGACGTGTCTAGGCATTTTTTGTTTGATTAGTTTTTAATTAAAGTTTTATCTAATAAAGTTACTCATATTATAAATTTTAATTATTATAAAATTTAAAAGTTTAAGGTGGTTCATGCATTTAGGTCAAATGTAGTTAGCCCGGAAAATGTGATATGAAATGAAAGATTAACGTTCCTAGAGTGTGTCTGTAAAATTTCGGATTTTTTAACCGATTGGTTCCGGAGATATATGTCCATAAACTTTGCCAATTTAACGCGGAGGGGTAGCCTCTCTTGCGAAAAACGAGGCTAAAGCGCTTATGCTGCAAAAATTACAATACTTCAAAAATAGATAAACAAACCAAAAACTGACGAAACGATGCAATAAACATTTTGCAAGATACTGGACGAAGCCCGAGTTCATTGACCGAACCATACAATAATAAAACGTAATTTTCGATTGACTAAATCGACAACTGACTTAATCGGAACTGACAGCTGGACTCGAGCGTCATTAGCGACAGCTTGGCAAAGTCGCATGTGTCAGCTGATGAGTATAGCGCATATCTCAAACATTCAACGTTTACCATGTTCTGGACGCTGAATAAAGCAAAGGGTAAAACAAAAATATTCGCCCATTTCTGAAAAGAATTAAAATTAGGTTTGATCAAGATCTGCAATACTGAATAAATACAAGTTTCAATACAATAAGGTTATAAAATGTCCAAACAATTTTAACATGCATTGTTTATTCTATTTATCATAACGCCCGCCGCGCTGCTGTTGTACATATATTCACACGGCTCACAACTATAGTAAAAAATGTGACTTTCGTCTCAATATTAATTACGTAGAGGTCGTATAACATTAAAGATGTCATAAATAATAAATCTAATTATACGCTGATTTTTACGGACAAAAATCACATTTATTTATCACTAATAATAATAGTTGCCTATTTGACTTGCAAGTACTGCACGAACCACCTTAATCTAAACTTCGTACTCGTAATCGAATCTTTTCGAATCAAAATACGATCGACATCCCTTACAAAAAAGTATTACTAGCTGGTTAGTAATAAATACTTATTTTGTGTATTAATAATATTAAAATTAAGTATTTATTAGTACTTGAATAATATTAAAATTAAGTATTTATTAGTAATTGAATCACTGTGATCCAAGTATTGCATAGTATTTTATTACTGGTCAGTAATTTATGAAAGTAGTATTTAATACAGGACGAGTATTGAATACTTAGTATTAAATTTCTGATGAGAAAGCATTTAATACTAGGTGAAAAATACTTGTGTAATAAATACTTGTGTAATAAATACTTGTGTTGAATTACTGATGAGTATTTCAATGTTAGTACTGAAGTACTGAACCAAGGATTCCATGTGTAATAAATCACTGGCCAGTATTTTAATATTAATACTCAAGTACTGAACTGAATATTTTATGTGAAATTAATCACTGACCAATACTACAATTTGTATAGAAACATTATAAAGGGTAATTCCTGATAATACTAAGGAAAAGAGATAAAAGTAAGGCACAAATACATTTTATATGAAGGTCTGTACTAATTCGTCGTGATAAAAGTGTACAAGTTTTGAAATAGTACTGAGGATATTATTTTAATATCCAATTCAAAATTTTATTACTCTTTTTAAACTAAATTTGTTTCTTAAGATGATTTTTGAAAAATTATATATTTGCGCTGGTTATGACACATGTAGACTATATATAACACTTACATCAAATTAAGAAGTAGTCTACCACGTAAGGCAGTTGGCTCACGATCCAGAGGTCCCGAGTTCGATCCCACCAAGGTAAGTGTGTTTTTCAAATACGAGAAAATATTTATAATTATAGACTGCATCTTAAGAAACAAATTTAGTTATAAAATATAGTAATAAAATTTCGAAAAAAAATAAATTTTTTTTATGCCGGGTAAATATCGGAAATCGAAATATCGGTGAATAATTCAATACTAAGCACCAGTAGTTCTGTGTAGTATTAATCACTTACCTATAATATTTATTACTGTTATGTGATCAGTATAGATATTACTCATATCTACGCCGTATTTTCGTCTTGAGCCTTATTTAATGTGTGATTAATAAATACAGAAAACAGTTGAAAAAATCGTTTTAATAAAGAATGTAAAAGTTAAACAATAAAGCAGAAAATGACAATTAAGAAGAGAACGCAAATACGTATACATACATGGATCAGTTGCGCATAGTATCTGACTTCGCTTAAGGGCTGTTGTTGATTATTTCGCTTAAGGGCTGTTGCCCTGAGTAGTGAGAGCGGTAAGCGACGACGCCTAGGGGACTATCGCCCTGAGTCGCTACCTGATTGTGCGGATGCGACAGCGCCTAAAGGTGTAGACCTTGGGTCGCTTTGGCTTGACACACACTTTATCTTATGTTTACAATTATGTCCTTTGTAAAGAGTTTAAATGTTTATCTCGAAGGAAAAGCAAAGTCTCGAGCGATTCTTCGTGGCCACGTAACCGACATGTACATCGAAAAAACGAAGAATAATAGAATATCGGCCGTGACAACGAAGGATCGAAAACGCCGGAGCAACATCTAGCGAGCATTGAAACTCGTCCCTAAGATACCGAATTATTAGGAATTATTTATTTGTACATATAATTAATTGATGCACTTATAGGTAAATGTGTGTGTATGTGTCTGAGCCATCCGACAATCTCTCTTATACCGAATTAATTAAGTCGTGCACGACGCATGTATTTACTACATAACAATTACTACCAGTATTTTCCCAGTATTTCCCAAATAAATATTGACAGTATTAAATCACTGAGATTTTAAGTATTTAGTCAGTAATACTTTTCTGTAAGGGATATAGATTTTTCAAATTCAAATTTATTTTTAATTGGATATACATATATTTTAATTGCCACGAATAAACGCGTGCAAAGAATAAATGCGAAATTAATTTATATGCTAAAGAAATTATTATTTTGTTATTGTTTGTTTTTAATTTTGTACTTAAATGATTTAATTAATATAATAGCCCCTTCGCGACGCGTTCTCGTTTCTTTAGATGATTGAACGGATAAACCAGGTGATTCTTGACTTTGACGTTCTACAAAGGGATCCACAGTATAGCCTGTTGAACTTGAAGTGCTTGGTCTGCATTGAAATGTGGTGTAATTAAAAATGGAATTATTTCAAACAATACCGTTGTAAATTAATCTTGTGCAGAGAAGTCACAGTATTTAAATAGTAAGATATTATTATATTTCATATATCATAAATATCAAGTAAAACGAATAATTATTTCTCAAGTTTGCCTGTTTCTTTTATACTCGTTTGCTTAGATGATAAAACGGGCGATTCAAGTAATTTTGAATTTTTCTTTAAGATGCTTGCTATAAATCTGCATTAAGGGGCACAACTAGTGTGACACTTTTGAAAAATCGATTTTTTTTTGCATTTTTCGATAGTCTATAGCTTCAAGAATAACATACTAAAATTTTAAGAGTGGATCTCAAATAGTTTTTGAACGGCAGCCTTTTAAAGAGTAGCTGCTCGTCGGTCAGAAACGTGCATAAGCTTCGAAAGAGGGTCGATTAGCTCGAAGGAAAGCTTCAGCAACCCAGCAGGTACTTTTCGAGGAAGAGGAAGGTGAATTATATGGGCCTGGAATAGCAGATTAGCTGTAAGTATGATATTTCTCAATCAAACAATGAAATCAATATTTTTATCTAAACGCGTTTTTCTCAAAATGACATTTTTCAAATTTGCTGCAGTTCTAACTCGAATACAAATCATCCGATTGACTTGAATTTTTTTGGGGCGTGTTTAGTATTTGTTTTTCCATACAATGACCTTCCAGTTTTTTGATTGGATGAAAAATGTCAATTTGCCATGCAAAAAACCTCGAGATTTTTAAGCGTAATTTGAAATTTTTTTTCAAAACTCCGCCATTTTGTTGGATTTTAATTTTTTTTCATAATCCTACGTTATTGTACGGGAAATACCTTCTAGTTTAACGAACATTTTTTGTTTTTTTATTTCAGGCACTCTGAAGGCCGCAATCACTGCAGCAGTGGGAGAACTTTTTTTTTTGGAGACTCGGGAGATGACACATAAGTCGCTGAAAATTGATTATTTTCATACAAAAAAATTACTGCACATAGATCATTTATACACAAATATATTCTCAAAATTTCAAAACATTCGATGCAATATTTTTCTTTTAATAAATTCCCGAAAATCACCTTTTTTGGGCAGTCACACTAGTTGTGCCCCTTAAAATGTGATTGATGTGATTAAAAAGAGAAACAGAAGAGTTATTTTTTAAAATATCACAGTTGTAAATAATTATTTTTGTGGAAAAAAGTCATAATTTAATTCTGATAGCAGTAATAACACTACATGTAACATATGTAAAAAGAATAATTACTTATCAAGTGCGTTTGTTTCTTCAATTGCTGGCTCATATGATTGAACATGCAAACCAGGTGAATCTTGACTTTTATATTCCGCAGAAGTATCCATAACATCATTCGTTGAGTTTGAAGTGCTAGGTCTGCATTGAAACGTGTAAATAAAAATAGTAAAAAAGAATTATTATTTTTTAAATATTATGTATATACTTATAGATGGTGATTCGTAATGAAGTGAAAGTAAGTGAAGGAAAGTAAGAGAGAGATGGAAAGTGTAAGAGAGAGAAAACTATAGGGAGAGAATATTTTATATCTCGAATTTCCAAAATATTAATTTTAAACAAATAAACATCTTGAACAGATTCATGATTTTTTATACGTATATACGTAAGTGGCAGATTTAAGTTTTAGTATATAGATTTTATTAAGGCTGTTTAATTTTGAATACATACAAAAACTAAACATTTTATATATTTGACTCGAGTTTTGACACTAATGTCAAATAAATGCCTAATCTAAATTTTTAAATTGTATACGTCTATGATAGATAAAAAAAATGTAAATATGAGCGATTCAAATTTGTTTAAATTATGTGCGAAATAATTGAAAGATAATCTAAAAAGGCTCACAAAATTAAGAATTAAATTAAGGAATAAAGAGCATCGAGCCGTAACGGGATGTAAATGTTAAATATATTAAATGTATTACAAAATTACAGACGTTTCGGTTCTAAAAAACATTGAACCATCCTCAGTGTCTATTTTAACGCAATAAACATTAGCGCTATCGTATAATTAAAATTAAAATAACAGGCAGACGACAACGTTGGTATCGTACGCATCGCTGTAAATAAAATTTTCTCAAATTAAATTACGCCGTGTCGTTAACAATCATTCTAATATAAAATACGTACAATTTGATGGTCTGTGGAGAGAACGCTTGTAAGGTCGACATTGTCAATTTCGTGGCTGGTGTGTTAGTTTTGGAAGAGAATAACAGACTATCTGGTGGCGCACAAACGAAACCGATTATACAGACAAAATGGAATAAGAAGGGGGAAAGGGAAAAAACTATGGTAGGAGCAAGAAATTAAGGAAGGAGCAAATGAAGAACTGGAAGGTATTCCTCGGGAAGAGACTCCGTGTCCTTTTGTTTGTTAAGCGGGGATAACTGTCTCTTTATATGTATCATTTCTGACGTGAGTCTCCTCCCCAGTGACCGCTCAACGTCTAAAATTTCAACACCCTCCCAGTCAAACTCGTGGTCAGTCTGAAATTTATGGGCTGTAATTACCGAAGAGGAGCGAGGATTTCTTTTAAAATCCATTTTATGTTCTTTCACTCTGGTTTTTAATTGTTTCTTCGTCTGTCCCACATAGGAAACCTCACAATCCTTACATGGGATTTTATAAACGACCTGACTGTGAGAAAGCTCGTCAAGGTTGTCTTTTCCTGTCCTAATAAATCTTTTAAGAGGGTGTGCAACCGAAAAGGCAATCTCTGCGGTTTTGACAAACTTTTTAAATTTTTCGGAAGTAGCTTTCACATAGGAAACGGTGAAATATTATATTCTCCGATTCAATCGATAGATCCGCTCTTCTCATTTTTTTCAGAACAAATTGTGTAACTCTGTTTTTTATTGAAGAAAAAATGAACGGTAATGGGTAGCCGTTTTCTAAGAATAATCGGATGATTAGATTAAAGTTCTTCCTATGGAATTGTGGATGTGAGATAGACACAATCCTGTCCACAAGCCCGAAAATGACGCCATTTTTCTGGGATATTAGATGGCGTGAATGGAAATTCAGGTATCTTCCTGAGAACGTAAGCTTATGGTACCAGTCAAAGATGAATCTGCCCTCCCTCACCATTACCACGACATCAAGAAAATTTAAAACGTTATTATCGCTGATTTCCATAGTAAACTGTAATCTTTTGTGTACTGAGTTGAAAGTTTCTAAGATGTGATCGAAATGTTCCGGGGGAGCTGCCATGAAAATGTCGTCGACATATCTCCGATAAATTTTGATGTAGGGTAACATGTTTATTGCTTTTGTTTCTATGTCCTGTAACGTGATGTCTGCGATAATTGGCGAGAGAGGAGAGCTCATCGGGGAGCCAAATATTTGTCTGTATATACGATTGTTAAATACAAAGAAAGTCGAATTTATAACCATCCGGACCGCTAATAAAAATTCGTCTTTCGGAATGTGAGTTCCCCCAGAGATAGAATCCCATCTATTCTCGATACTATTGATTGCCATATCTAGCGGTACATTGGTGAATAACGAAACAACATCCAACGAAATCAGATTATAATCTGATTCCAATGTGATGGCCCTCAGTTCACTCACAAGCTTCAAGCTATTTTTTAGGTGTGTGTCAGGTAATTTAATATTATTATAGATGATATTATGTAGGAATGAAGCCAACCTGTACATAAAAGACTGTTGATAGATGAGACTATAACCCTGAGAGAAACTCCCGGTTTGTGAATTTTCGACCTTACAAGTCGACCTTCGACCTTCAATGTCGACCTTCCAAGCGTTCTCTCCACAGACCATCAAATTGTACGTATTTTATATTAGAATGATTGTTAACTACACGGCGTAATTTAATTTGAGGAAATTTTATTTACAGCGATGCGTACGATACCAACGTTGTCGTCTGCCTGTTATTTTAATTTTAATTATACGATAGCGCTAATGTTTATTGCGTTAAAATAGACACTGAGGATGGTTCAATGTTTTTTAGAACCGAAACGTCTGTAATTTTGTAATACATTTAATATGTTTAACACTTACATCCCGTTACGGCTCGATGCTCTTTATTCCTTAATTTAATAATTGAAAGAATTATTATTATGATTAAATAAGTATATTTATGATCGGAAAACAGATAATTATTATGTGAATGCCCTGATGAAAGCCTTCTCCGCTCAATATTTTCTTTAGATGTTAATTGTTTTATTATTTTTGGTATTTTAATAAGTTTTTGAATGTGTACTTACGCATGTTGACTCTGGTTTTTCCATCCGGGATGTTTTTTATTTAGATGCATGTGATGTCAAATTCCAACGTACTCTATTAGGCATTATGATACCACATTTATTACATATTGCCTTACAATTTGGTGAGTTCGTAAAATAATGACGTAGTTTGTACGGTATGGTGAGGTCTATATTAGATATTTCATGTTTATGCATTAAATGTCTTCGTAAGTTCTTTATAACCACTTATGACTCGGATAACCGAATTTCTTCTTCACACAGCCTGCACTTTGTGAGCAAATCTTCTAACTCTATGAAGTGATCCCACAACTCGTTGAATTTGAAGTCTTTTGGTAATTCCATTATATTCGTCTTATACTGTAAGATGTCTGTTACTAAATGTGGTATAGAAATGACCTCAACAAGCGTTTGAAATACTGCTCACACAGGTCAAAAAGGTCAAGGGAAGTGTTTATTCATCGGGATGTATGTAAATGTACATAAATATATTTAATTTGCCTAACTACAAGATCGTACATATGAAATATAAAAAGATGTAAATATGAACAAATCAAATTTGTTTAAATTATATGCGAAATAATTGAAAGTTTATATTATTACTAGCTGGTTACCCGGGCTTCGCCCCGGAGGACATATGTAATAAGACACGCAAATAGTCTCTCTCTCTCTCTCTCTCTCTCTCTCTCTCTCTCTCTCTCTCTCTCTCTCTCTCTCTCTTTCTTTCTGTCTCCCTCTCTCTTCCTCTCTCCTCTCTCTCTCTCTCTTTCTCCTTCTCTCCTCTCTCTCTCTCTCTCTCTCTCTCTCTCTCTCTTTCTCTCTCTCTCTGGTGAGTACGGTGTGTGCACGTCCGCTGTATTGCTCCTGTCATAAGTGGACATATTACTGCCGCAAGCTGCCTTCGGGCTCATTTGTTGCAGGTTTATGCAAGTCTTTTTGTTGCTCGTCACGTGCGGTTGCAGTGCGCGTCGGGCTATCGCTGGATCTTTGCTGTTTGCACGGCGAGTGTTTCTCATTATTGCATATCATTTCTGAGAATCATTCCATGGAGGATGTCGATCTCTCTGCGCATGTGCCTGCCATTTGATCTGTTCTTTCCTACACCTGCTGTCCCGGCGTGCCATCGAGTTTAACATCGATATTCCATGGAGGATGTCGATCTCTTTGCGCATGTGCCTGCCGTCTGATCTGTTCTTTCCTACACCTGCTGTCCCGGCGTGCCATCGAGTTTAACATCGATATTGACGTGTCGATTGATCGTCGTGTGACTTCGAGTTGTCACTAGCGGCGCCTTTACAGTGCAGATGTGTGTGATGTGAATTGGGTACTGATGCGTGTATCGTTCTCAAATTGAGTTAATCTCTTATTGCATAGTGATCTTATGATTTGTTGGTATGCATTATCTTGTAGCATATACAGCTCAGCGACTTTACTTTTTTGCCTAACATAGATTGATTAAGTCAAGATTTGTTCGAGTGATTTGTACGCTTTCAGAATTTTATTATTTTGAGGCATTATATTGTCAGTCGTTGCTACCAATTATGCCTGTTTTATACTTTTATGCATGAGTCTGCGTATGTTGCAAATTGTGAATTGCTTTCCAGCAAACGAAAAAAGATTGAAAAGAATTAAAACGGGATTGCCAGGAATTCAATTAAGGACTTTCCGAATTCCATTCTGTCCAAAAAAAGGATTGAAATAGTTTCAATATCATGGAATTCCTTATTTTGGAAAGAATTTGTCTTTTTTGAATCCCATCCAATTCCGACACAAAAATATTATACCACTGAATGCCAGGTTAGGGATTGGAAAGTTTCGTGATGAATTCCATTG